AATTTGCTTCATATCATAATGTTCTTCTTTATTTGTAGGAGGATCCTGTGCTCCTAGTTCCCGAGTATACTGAAAATCAAATGCAGAAACCTTACGTGGCCATAATTAAGGTTTGTGCTGTCTTTATTAGTTAAATTTGGGAGTCAGAGATCACATTTGTTATGTTATGTTTCTGTTTATGTGAATAAATTTCAATCTGAATGCTTGTATAAGTTCACCATATCATATTAGTGTTGCTTTATGGATCTTCAGGTGTAAGTCAAAGCATGTTTCTTAGATCACATGCAGTAATTTTTCAAGTAAAATTGACATTTGATTTGATTTCATTGTTTAATGTGGCATGGACTTTGAATATTTATTAAATTCTTAAGTACGATGAACATTATATGTGGGATTTTTTGTTTCTATATATGGCGCACAATCTTGAAGATGTTCTTGTGGATGTTTCTATTTTTTTTTTTTTTGGGTGGTTAGAAGATAATTTATGTTGAACTTTGAAGATTTTTTTTGGGTTTATTGTTTAGAGCTTCTAATGACTTCCCCTATATCTCTCTCCACGCAGATAAGTATAGTTGTCTTAGAGGTTTGAAGTATAGTTCTGTATCATTGAATCCCTTTTCGAAGTTCCTGTACTTGCAATTTAAATATCAAGAAAGATAAAGAGCATTAGCTGTTTTGCAAATGATAACTGATCTCTGTTAGCATATGTTTGGCAAGAGTTTATAAACAAATAGAAATGAGTGGTGGATAAGTGGTAGTACTTGTGGATCCTATGAAATATGTAGATAAAAAGTGTTGATTTTTAGACACTTGCCAAACATAGGCTTAATTTTATCATCAAATTCTATAGGATGACAAATCTTTTAGCACATCTTGTTTATCCTTTTTGGTTGTTGGCTCTGTAACTTGTAATCCCTGTGTTAAAAGTTGGATAGTTATTCTTGTTTTAATGATGTATTATTTACTTTGTTATAGGAATGCATCTGTCATGGCATGAAGATACATCTTTTCCTATGTGTATATCTATTAATTAGTTATTCTGTGCACAGGACATTTCTCAGACCAGAAAAGGGGCCATGATGGTAACTGGACAGTGGTTTTATCGTCCAGAGGAGGCAGAAAAAAAAGGCGGTGGAAATTGGGAATCACGCGATACTAGGGAACTATTTTATAGTTTCCATCGAGATGAAGTGCCTGCAGAATCTGTCATGCACAAGTGTGTCGTGCACTTCATACCTTTGAACAAGCAAATTCCAAAGCGAAAACAGCATCCCGGTTTTATTGTGCAGAAAGTTTATGATACTGAGCAGAAAAGGCTTTTTAAGCTAACGGATAAAGATTATGAAGACAACAAACAGCATGAGATTGATCTTCTTGTTCAGAAGACTATTTCACGTATAGGAGAGCTTCCTGACCTTGAGCCCGAGGATACTGCTGTGAATCAGGAAGATCAGACAAAGAGTAAACGTCTTTTAAAGAGAAGGAATGTTCGGCCTTTGGATGTTTCCAGGGAGGATGATGGAATTAGTAGATCTCAGCAATCGCTTAAAGCAGAAACTCCAGGAAGTACTGCTGCTAGTTCATCAGAGTATTATGCCATCCTATCACAGCATAAGGTACTCACCGGGGAAATGCAGAGGGACAAGGGGTTGGAGAAGCTTTTACAAGCAATTCAATTTATATGCACTCCCATCCACAGCAAGCAGAATGACGAGAAAGAAAAAGATGGTGTTGATGGAAGCAATAGCAGGGATAAGAGCGGTAGTTCAAATCACATAAATGAATCTGACTGCAAGACTCCAGTTGTAAGCATTTGGATTTTTTTGTCAGATTGTGGAGCATCTAGCCCCCATTTGGTTTTAGATAAAAATCAAATTTTTAGTAGATTATGATAAAAGTTATGAAATGTATGATTGAAAAGTTGATAAAAGTTGTAGCCTGTAGGTGTTATGAAATATGTAGTTGAAAATGAGTTTTAGAAAATGGGGCCCAAACGAGCTCTTAATATTTTCAGTTATTAATATGACTAATGATATCAGTTGTTAGAAGATACACATAAATATGAGAACATACTTGAGATATTTCTTTTCTTTGGTCAGGGAAATGAGTCCTTTCACTGGCCGGATGCAGCTGTTTCTGCTGTAACTGCTCTTGAGAAGGCTGTGCATGATGCACTCTCCTCTGATTTTCACAAGTATAACCAAAAGTTGCGACAATTAACATTTAATCTTAAGGTTAGGCCATTACTCACTTTTTTTGCACAAGTCTGTGGACATCTGGATATAAAAAAAGGTCTTACTATTTCATTTTTGCACAACACTTTTGCATATGTACTTCTTTCATTCCAGTACTGTTAGTAATGTATGTTCCTTCTCTATTTAGTTTTTCTCCTACATATATTTTCCTGACTTGTGTTTTTGCTTTTTAATTCACTATTTCTTGCCAGAATAATGCTGTGTTAGCACGACGTCTTCTGAATGGGGAGCTGGAGCCTTCACAAATACTGAATATGTCACCAAATGAATTAAAGGTCCAGTCTACTGTTGGTTGTTAATCTCTGAGTCTATCTCTTGAACAATTATAATTGTTTTTCTTTCCCCCCTGTTTGTTTTGGGCACTATATACTTGATGTTTGTAATATCAATGTCAAGATTATATTTAAAACCTGTTCTAAAGTTGGGTTCAATGGGAGAAATTCAAATTATAACCTGTTAACATGTTTGGCTGTCGGGTTGATGATACAAGGCTTTGTTGAGTAGAAGTTATTAGTTCATTACCATCCTTTTTCAAGACTTCTGGTTGTAGAAAATTTTCATCCTGTTAGAAACTATTGTTTTAGATTTTTCTCGTCAGTTTTAAACTCAGAACTATTTTTCCTTCGTTTTTATATCTTCAATTAAACTAAGCCTTACTCTTCCTATTTTGACTGGGATTAATCCCTCTAGCATTTCAAGGACCAAACTGAAACACTGCCTCCCTATTTATTAACACATGCACTTGCTTGAGTGTTTTTATATGGTGATGCAGAGCTTTCAATTTGGTCCTTGACATGTTAAATGACATATTCTAGTCTCGAAGGGCTTGAAACTAGTTAAAGTAACATATATCGTTTGTTTAGTTTAAACTATAAGAATTACTACCACTTTAGCCCCTATTTGGCAATCATTAAAACAAAACTTGGTTTTTCTCAAACTTATTTTCAACCATACATACAAAAAAATATTTTACTTATAAACCCACAACTTTTTCCTACTTTTAAATCACACGTTCTCCAATAAGTATTCCAAAACTCATTTTCTCCAAAAAAAAAATAAATGAATGAATAAAAATTCTGTTTAATGGTTGTCAAACGGGCTTCGTGTTCATTTGTTACAAATTAGAATTTATCCTCTTAACACGCACACCCCACCCCCCAAAAACCCACAATTGTTTTTTCAGGAGGGTCTAACAGCAGAGGAAATAGCTAGCAGGGAGCCTGAGGAATCAGGGCGCATCCGGCAGGTTACTTAGTGCTATTTTATCAAATGATTGGCATTGATGATATTTTTTGACCTTTTTATTGAATCATGGTTGCCAGTGTTATCTTTTTGCTTGTCTTTGTCCAGATGACTGATGCTCGCTGTAAGAGATGCAATGAGAAACAAGTCGGTTTGACTGAGATCATTCAGGCTGGACATGGAGACCGCTACCACGTTTGTACATTTTCCTTTCTGTTTTTCAATGTCCTGAATGAGAACGTATTTACTTCACTTTTAGCTATTGAATATGCATCGAGTTGCTATAACAATCTTCATCGATTGATGATTTTTCCAGCTGGAGTGCGTCGCCTGTGGTAACACCTGGTATGCTTCTAGAGATGATGCTTCTACACTGACAATAGAAGGGTCCAGTTCTGCCAGGGCGGTAGGCACTGCACCATTAGCTACCGCCAAGTTTGAAGATGTTGAGAAGAAGCTTTTGAGTCCCCGTGAGAAGGGAGCCAGTGATGTCCAGAAGAAAACGACTGAAGCATTCGTTCCTGCACTGGACAAACAAAAATCATTCAACAAGACAAAGGCTGAAGATCCTGAGTGATTCCTGTACCCTGGGAAACTGTTTTGTTTGTAAATTGCTGATCAAATCTGGAGTTGGTGCTTGTATCACTATATTGTTCAATATCATGTTTTATGGGATTCTAATCAAATTTCATCCATTATAAGTTGGATTAGGCTTTGCATGGACTGAGCCAGAGTACAAACTCTGACAAAACCATGCCCAATTTGATTGTTATCCCATTGGGAGCAAAATGTGATTCTATGCTGATAGGTTGTGATGTACGTGTAGCACAACTGAATTATTATTCTCACACATCCAAATCCCAATTCAGAATATCATTGGACAGCAGTTCCTAAATTCTCAGTGGGAGTAGGAGTCGGAATAATTGAAATATGCTATCTCGGCTTGATTGTCTTCGAGTGATGTGTTAAAATTTTAGTGGTGGATAACTAAAGGGGCAATAAAGTCGAGATAGCAAACCCAGTGTAAGAATTGGTTGACAATTTTCATGGGTGGTGTGGTTAAGAATTAATTTGCAATTAATTTTTTAAACTTTAGGGTGGAGATTAGATTTTGCAATAGTTGTCAAGTAATGAGCTGAAGAGGAGGTATCATCCACTAAAATCGAGTTTGTAATATTTTCCAGTCTTGTCTTTTTTTTTAGCGTAAATTTTGAAATTTCATTTTTAGTAAAGGATTCCAAAAATCAAAGTCTGCATCTAATTTGATGTGAATTTTATGGACTCAATACTAATTTTACAATTTTATATCACAAAAGCAATACAATGTTTTTCAGACTTAGTATGAAGTGAGAAAGAATAATATGTTATGATTAATTTACAACATTATTATTAGAAAACTGCTTCAAGAAAGGGTCCAATCTCACGTTTTAAATATTGTAAGGCAAAATGAAAGGTACATTTAGTGTGTCTTGGTTTGTTTTGGGATCCAAGAATAAGAGTGGCTAACCCAAAATTCTAAATTCAACGTTCAAAAATGAAGTTCCATTTATATCACAGGGCCAGGCCAATCTTTTTCTTGGTAAATAAACAACAATACAAGAGATTGAAAATTCCGAAGACATCGGTCGATCATTGATCGACTCGCTCTCAAGATGAAAGCAAATACAAACACAATTCTTCGATCAAATCACGATGGTTTTCTCATTAAGTTGAACTCTTGAATCAAATCGGGATCAACATTCTCCTCGGGCTCCCAAGTAGCGTCTTCTATGTCGGTCCATTTCACCAAATACTCCATCTTCCCATCCTCACCCCTTCTCGTGTCCACAATGGACTCTACCACAGCATATTCGAGCCCGGCCTCAAAGTCCTCGACCAACTCCTCGGCTATCAATCCCGCCTTCACCCACTCGTTATCCCCTCCGTCTTTCCATTTCACCAAGTACTCCGTGTTCGTCCCCTTCCCTCTCTTCTCGAGGATCTCCTCCACCTCCGCGTACTCAAATATGGTGTCCTCTAACACCTTTATCACATTCTCCAATCCCAATCTCCTAGCAAACTGAACAGGGTTGCCTTTTGGTGTCACATTCAAAATCTCTCTGGCCAATTCCAATGGGGTTTTTCCTCTATCGTCTTCCAATTCGGGGTCCGCCCCGAATTCGATCAACACCTTCGCCACTCCGGGTCTGACATAACCAGCAGCCATGTGTAAAGCCGTCAATCCGCCACTGTTATCTCTGTGGTTGACATTTGCACCCTCCTCGGCTAACAGCTTCACGCACGGCTCCGAGCCTAGCCCCGATACGAACAGAAGAGCCGTCCGGCCGTCTTGATCCACGGCGTCAATGTCTCTCCCGTCGCCGGAGCTAATAACTTCTCTGAGAGCCGTTTCGTCGGCTTTCTTCACGGCGTTCCACCAGGGAGCTTCGTACTCGGCGATCACGTCCTTGGCTATGTAATCTGAAGGAACCCATGTGGGTACGTGATCGTCCTTCCACTCTATTAAGTACTCCATCCCACTGCCATTTTCGAGTGCCCTACTCCCGATTATTTTGTTCACTTCTCCGTAGCTCTCATCTTCATTGTAATCGTCGAATACTTTTGCAGATTCATGGCTTTCGACGGTGGCGGACAGTGAGAAATTCGTGGCGCTTCTTGGAAAAAGGAGATGGGTTTTGAAGGGGAAGGGGAGACGAGGAGCGATGTTTACAGCATTGGTATTGCAAATGGTGAAACTGAGATGTGGAGACAGTTTGAGGCGAGAGAGATACGGAAGAATTTCCATTGACACTGCAATTGAATTTCGGAGTGTAATTGGTTTTGATGAAGAAAATCTAGCGCAGAGATTGTTCTGGATAAGGAACCCCATCCATTTCTTATTAAAAATGGTGCTACATCTTCTATAAAAGACCTTATATTATGCTATTTATGTCAATTTCTCTATTTTGGATTCTGTTGACATGGGCTCAGCTTGACAGTTGACACTTGAAAATCAATGTATTAGGATTACATACACATCATTTATTCTAAGCCCTATTTGATCGTCATTTGGGAAAAACAATATTTTGAGAAATGATTTTTAGAAGAATGTATGATTAAAAAGTAGAGAAGCGTTTCTAATTTACGTGTATAATTTTTATTTGTGTGAATGTGTTATTGAAAACAGTTACGTAGAAAAGAGAGTTCTCAAATAACGATTGTTAAATGGGGGCTATGATTTGGTTATAAATCATAAAAACCATATTCTTATTTTCAAGGCACTCTCATTTTGGTGGAGAGGCCAGATAGAAGGTTTCTCATTGAGGTTGCTAAGTGGATTCATTGTTTAGACGGCTGGTGATGGTGCAATATTGCTCATCGAATAATTTCTTTGAGCAACACTATTAATAAAACTTTTAGTGTTTTTTTTTTTTTTTGTAATAAACGATGAAAAGTATGGTTGAAAAGTTAATAAAATTTGTAGTTAAAATGAGTTTTAAAATTTAAAAATTAATGATCAATCTAGGGCTATATCTTCGCAATACAATTCTTGCCAGAGCAAGAGTTAGAGCTCTTAAATAATTGCAATTTGAGGTCATGTACTCATCAAACTTGTGGGAAATCAAGAGATGAGTAAGAGGACGCTACTTTTAGCTTCATTATATGAATTTCGGGAAGATATCTAACAGTCAACTTGATCAAGAGCAGTGTAATTGCAGGAGAAATCGACGTGTTCTCAACCGTTCACTCGAAAGTTGGGAAAACCAAGAGAATCTTACCCCAAATCTCTCCAAGCTCTATAAAGAGGAGAGCCTTAATCATCGATTATCATATTCAACAACATACGAAAACTCTATTAAAATCACCTTACATATGAAGTTCACTTATCATATTCACTCAATCCTCTAAACAAATCTTGTACTCCAATTTTCCATCTCTTATATAAATTTATGTTCAGGTATCTACGTGCGAAGTTATACAATGATTATTTTTCCCCAATTAATGAATTATATAATTCATATACTTTATTGTTATCTCTAATTCATGTACAAGTTAGACAATTTTCATTTTGCCATTAAAAATATTACAATGTAACAATGGTAAACTGCAACTAGAAGACTCTAAAGCTTTATCCCTAAAGAGTCATACAGAGTGTATAGGCTGTTCAATTTCCCGTTGCTATTAGAGCTTGTCCTCGTATTCATATGTAGCAAACATTCGAAGGATCTGATCCCACTCCATCGAAGATCACTTTCTAATGTGAATTAAAGATCCAATAAATGAAGGAACATTTTTTATTGGCAAAAGTAATAGTAGCGAAGCCAAGAAAATTCAATAAATCTATCCACAGTGATTCTTTATTTAATAAGGGTATCACTATTTTCATCCACACTTTTTATATGTACATCCACTTTTAAAAATTAAATTTTGTTATATTTTAAATCCTATGTAAAATTACTTAAATAGACATAAACAAAATTAAATAAAAATACATAACTCTAAATTAATCCACTAGTTTTTATTTTCATTTATACTTAACTAGAATCCTAATAGATAGAATTATAAGTGATGGTGGCGCTAAATTTGATTTCTGTGCTGAGAATCATATCGGATTTCGAAAAATGCAAAACGGAATCTAATGTAGTTTCATCAATTAATCAAGAAAGAAGAAGAATTGTGGCCAACAAAGTTAGTAAAATTCAACTTGCTTAATCGAACTTTTTTCATCTTTCTGTCTTTAGCCTTTGTTGTTTGAAACATTCAAATACTCAAAATTTCAATAGACAAAGAATTTATTTCATGTTAATTTAATGTTCCATCAATTCAACGTCGTTCTTATTTCATTAATTTGGTTTAAGAGTTTATGATTTTAGGAATTGGGAGAATCTATAGTGATAGAGATGTATTTAAAGTGTGATGAATATATAAAATTCATGTGAATATATAATATTTAAATGAATGAATTTAATAAGAACAAGATTGAAACATGTAGTGGATGGAAACACCAGTACCTTTAATAATTGGGATGTACCTCTTCTCTATTAGCCTTAATTTCCTCAAATATCTACTCTTTTCAAGGTGTATATTATAGGGCAGGGTGGGTAAGTTGGGTGTCTGTTTTTTTTAAAAGTTTACCGTATTGAAGTTGCCTAAATCAGCGTTCTAATGACCGTAAAACACACAATAATTATTCTAGGCAAATTAACGTGAAAGAGTACAAGACTACCCAACCCTCTACTACCCCCAAAGAAAGAACAATTGGGCATGAATGTCTATTTGGATGCAAATAATGTAACGTTACTTTTTGTGGGCTGGTCCTAATTTGAAAAATATATTTTTTTCCCTTTTTTTTTGTCCCATTTGATGCTTTTTCTTGATTCTGTGAGAAGGGAAAATATCTGAGTATAAGTTTTGAAGCAATGTAAGACTGTTCTTAAAGTGTGCTTTTGTATTTCACTTTTGTAGAATATATAATTGAATATGATTTGGGTTCACATAAGCCTTCGAACTCAAGAGATTGGAGAAAATTAATGATTTTGGTTGCTGTTTGTTGGGTTTTTCTTTGGCTTCACTTCTCTAAGAAAGTGGGGTATGCCTATTTTCCTTTAGAAATTCTGCTTTTATTGGCTTCGAATGCAAGTATACATCATACAGTCCAATTATTTTATAAATTTGTTTTTCAAGATTTTTAGTTCAAATGGTATTGAGATTTAAAATTATTAGTAGGCTCCACTCATTTGTTAGAAATTTGGTATAAAATCTTTGAAATCCTACGCCTAATTGTAGAAAAATTGGCCTCGTAGCTTGAAGTCTTTTAGCTTTATAGCAGTCATCTTGTTTTTCAATCTGAAAATATGGGTATGGCTTTATTTCTGTATAATTCAGTTTTGTACTTATCATCATTTTCTATTAATTTTTATTCACTGAGTTCTGATCTTACCATTGATCATGAACTTCAATTTTGTATCTTGAAATGTGCACTTGAACGATTCTAAGTTCGGGTTTAATATAATGGCATGCATATTTAATATATTGCATATTTAACAACAGCAGTTTTTTTCTGTCAGCATATAATATACTCAAGTTTGCTCTGTAATTCTATGCCGATATCAAATGTAATGTTTTTTTTTCTTTTTTTCTTTTTTTTTTTTTTGAAGTATTGAACTCGCAGTTAATTAGCTTCATTACAGTGCAAATACATAGAAATCTACTAATGAGATTTGGCAGGACTGACATAATTTAGGGGATATCGTCTATTTACTTCATAATTAAATTTTGAATCCTATGCGTGGTTCAGTTCAGTATTTTATAAGTAATTTGATTCGGGATTTAACGATTCTTTCCCTTTTTAGGCTGTCAATTTGTGTTAATTTGTCAATGACATTAGAATGACTGGATATGGAGTTGGATTTCATTAGTATTGTGTTGTAGATGGAAATCCTACCAACTCCTCAGCATTCTTCAAAAGTTGGAAATAGAAAATCAAATGGGAAGCCCAAATGTGGAAATCATATCTTAAGTCTAGATGAAGACTTAATTGATATTAGCTTTAATTGCTGCAGCAGTGCACCATGTAGTGACATTATGTCTACTAGATCCAACAGGGAATCACAATGATGTTGTTGAGGAAAATCGTTGCTGCTGAGGAAAGGAAAAAAACGAGTTCTCACGAGCAGTTCACAGGACTAGGTGTGGCTCTCTTTTTTCAAACTATCCAATGAATATTTGACACGTGTCCCCTGTTTTTAAATCCTGTCATTGACCCTGTTTGTATAGTAAGATTGTGTGTATTATAGAGGTGGGGGTGCCTGTCATTTTCAACAGTTCACCTGTGTTTAAAATGCCTAAATCAGCGTTCTAATCACTATTAAACACACAATAATTATTCTTGGCAAATTCATGTGAAAGATTGTAAGACTCCCCAACCCACTTCTACGCCCAAAGAAAGAACAATTAGGCCTACATGTCTATTTGTATGCATACATATTATGTAACTTGCTGTTTGTGGGCTGGTCCTAATTTTTTTTTTCCTGTTTTTGGTCCCATTTCAATGCTTTTCTTGATTCTGTGAGAAGACAAAATCTGAATATAAGTTTTGAAGCAATGTAAGACTGTTCTTCAATAGTGTGCTTTTTTATTTTTTCTTTTGTACAATATATAACTGAATGTGATTTGGGTACACATAAGCCTTTGTGCTCAAGAAATTGGAGAAAATGATTGCTTTTGAAATTCTGCTTTTCCTTTAGAAAGTCTGCTTTTATTGGCTTGGAATGCAAGTATACATAATAATACCGTCCAATTATTTTAGACATTAGATTGCTCAAGTGTTTCAAGATTTTTGTTCAAATGGTATTGAGATTTAAAATTATTAGTAGGCTCCACTTATTTGTTAGAAATTTGGTATAAAATCATTGAAATGCTACATCTAATTGTAGAAAATTTGGCCTCATGTCTTGAAGTCTATTAGCTTTATAGCAGTCATCTTCGTTTTCAATCTGAAAGTATTGGTATGGCTTTATTTCTGTAGTATTTCAGTTTTGTATTTATAAACATCTTCTTTTATTTTTTATTCATTGAAATCTGATTTTATCAATGATCGTGAACTGCACTTTTGTCTCTTGAAATGTGCACTTGAACGATTCTAATTTCGAGTTTCATTTAATGGCATGCATATTTTACAGCATCTGATTTTTTTCCTGTCAGCATGTAGTATACTCAAGTCGGCTTTTTAATTCCATGCCGATATCGTATGTAATGTGTTTCATATTGAACTATCAGTTAAGATTAGCTTCTTTACAGTGAAAATACATAGAAATCTACTCACGGGACTTGGCAGGACAACATAATTTAGGGGTTATCACCTATTTACTTCAAAATTAAATTTTGAATCCAATATGTTGTTTGGTTCAGTATTTTACGAGTAATTTGATTCGGGATTTAACAATTCTTTACTTTTTTAGGCTGTCAATTTGTCAATGCCGTTAGAGTGACCGGATATGGAGTTTTATTTGATTAGTATTGTGTTGTAGATGGAAGTCCCACAACTGTCCTACCAACTTCTCAGCATCCTTTAAAGGTGGAAATAGAAAATCAAATGGGAAGCCCAAATGTGGAAATCATATCTTAAGCCTAGATGAAGACTTAATTGTGATTAGCTTTAATTGCAGCAGCAGTGAACCGTGTAGTGACATTACGTCCACTAGAGCCAATAGGGAATCACCGAGAGGTTGTTGAGGAAAATCGATGCTGCTGAGGAAAGGAAAAAGATCGAGTTCTCATGAGGCAATGCCACCATATTCTTATAGGGAATTATTGATTCTTCGTGTAGTTCAGACAAAGATAGCTCACCAATTATGTCGTCAGTAATGTCTCTAAATTCAGAACGAAGCACAGCTCGTTGGAATTTCTTAAATCGTTCTTCCCGTCTTTCTGGAAGAAACGTCCCTCCAAATGTGTCTTCTATTGACTTAGGCAACCGAGAAAACAAATTAGTAGATAATGCAGATATCCAGCAAGGTCGGGATCCTATGGTTATATCTGAACATGTGGTTGGTTGTACAAATGACAGGAACAGCCCACAAAATACCATTTCAGGTACCAGATTACTCAAATCATTATCGGCAAGATTCAGTTCAACCCATTTCCCTGCTCAATTGGAAAGTAATAGTTCGAGAGCCAGCAGTACCAAGGGTCCATTTAGTCCTGTCAGAAAGATGTTCCATTCATTTTCTAAAGCCAAGTCTCGGAGAAGCCCGTTAAGTTCCAGTAACGAGCCTGGAAACCAAACAATAAGTGAGCATGTTGGCCTCAAACATGGCAAAACTACTGGCAAATCCGTATGGCACGACTTCTCAAACAAGTCGCATCATTCAGAATTCAATTCTTATTCTGAAAAGAAAGAGAACTGCAATTCGATTTTGCAGTCTAATCCAGCACGCCTGCATGGCATTCTCAAGTTGGAGATTAAACATGGGGTTCCTCTTTATGAGTTTTCTGTGAAGTGTCCAGAAGATGTTTATATCGCAAAGACACAGAAAGAGGAAAATGCTTTAACTTTGGTCTACACATTTTATTCACTTGACAATAGAAGCAAGAACAATGCTAGTGGATGGGGATCAAAAGATTCCAATAGAGAATCCTCTATGATAGGGAAGATGGAAGTTTCCTGTTATTTACAAACGGAATTAAAAGTTGCTGGAGCTTTCGAAAACTCTATGGTGACAGAGTGTGTGTTATGTGACATTGCCCATCCAAGAACAAACACTTCATCTCAAGATGCTTCTAGCAGTTCCCCAGATGTTGTCAAAGCACAGTTCATTTCTGATGAAATTTTGTCCTCTTCTTCTAAGCAGTCCCAAGAAAGTAGCCAATGTGATTCCTTGACTAATCCTCTGGTAGGAGCAAAATTGCATTCGGAGCTTGAAATTGCAGCTATTATTATGGAAGTCCCAGTCAAGAATAGAGAATGCCTGAAATTAAAAGGTCGGGATAGAGCTGATGATGAGCCACTTCAGAATAGAAAGGCTGCAACATCTGACCGTGCAAGTCCTGGAAAGATTAGTGTAGTGATTCCATCTGGAAGCCACAGTTTGCAAAGTACTGAAACTTGCAGTCCTTCATCATTACTAGATCGATGGAGGAGAGGTGGAGGATGCGACTGTGGTGGCTGGGACATGGCATGCCCCCTCAATATTTTTGGCAACGGAAACATTCAAATTGCTGGAGACCATATCCTCATAGACAATCGGCATCCATTGAAACTCTTTGTTCAGGTAATTTCTCCGTCTAATGTAGGATCATTGTACTTGCACTTTGTAGATTATAGCTACTTCAGGTTAACTCTATAGTAATTGTTATGTCTAATTTGTCCCAAATATTGTTTTAGTTATTAATCATAATGACATATCTGTATCCAGGGTAAAAATGACAATATCCCAGCCTTGACAATAAGGGTAATTGATGATGGACAATATGCAGTTGATTTCCATGCACAGTTATCCTCATTACAAGCATTCTCTATTTGTGTTGCAATTTTGCATACTGCAGAAGCCTCTATCGTTGTTGGGCAGGAACCAAACATAAAAAAGTTGCAAAATGATTCGCTGAGTGAATTTTCCGAGAAAGAAATAAAAAATTTGATCGATTCAGGAACAGAGGAGAAGAAAGCTAAAGTTAACAAGAAGGAGGAAGAAGTTTTGCCACCGTTTGTCCTCTATCCACCCTTTTCTCCAATTGCTCGAGTATAAGCTTATTTAATGACCCAACCAACGCAGAGTTCAATCTGAATTGTGAAAGAGGTCACACAGATATCCTTAAAGGGCATTTCTTACATGGATGTTTCTCCAAACATGGTTTGAAATAACTGATGACTCGAAATCTCATGCTGAGAATTTCGGGTTTCATCCATAAAAAGATACCTCGATAGTTTAGCTTTGAAGTTGCTCTGCCACGCACCCGGTTGCTGCGTAACTTCTTTTCTTGTATCTTCATTTCTTTATAGGAAGTTGAAGCAAACACCATAGAGTTCATACTTATTAACTGATAGGGAGTGAAGATAGAATAAGAGTGAGGCCATTGTTGAATAAGTAATAGGGGTTTATTCTTTCTTGTAATTTATGATGATTGAAGTATATTATGGGAATGGAAGATTTTGAACATTTTATAAAATAACCCTTTTGTATACACACTCTTTTGCATTATTTCCAGAAGCGCTTCATAAGAATGCTTGCAGTGGAAGGCCAGAATGAATAAAAATAATGAATGTTTAAAAAATTCGCCGTTGCCGGGGATCGAACCCGGGTCACCCGCGTGACAGGCGGGTATACTCACCACTATACTACAACGACCTTTTTGATTCGGGGTCGGCATTCGTCTTTGTTAATCTTTACTAAAGTAAGATTAGGACCTTTTACCATTCAAAACTGAAGGTGATGTAATGGAAAAAATTAAATAATAATGAAGAAGTTCCCCCCTCGAAAGATTGTCCAAAGTTCTCATTACCAAACAGGTTATTATGTGTTTTATATAAAGTTTGGAAAATATTATGAATTCAGAAAATAAATTGATTGTGTCGAAAGAACTAAACTCCATCGCTTTTACATGCATAAGTTAACCTTGGCCTTGTTTGAGTCTTATTTTGGGGAAGAATGCATTTTGAATAATAGATGAATAGAAAATGTGTGGTTAAAATTTTAGAGTTGTGTATAATGTTATTTTATTGAAAAATGTATGGTTAAAAATAAGTTTTGAAAAAAATGAATTTTTAAAATAATGGGGCTCAAACAAACCAACAATGTAGAATTGACAATGGTCACAATCAAATATATTTTCTATTCCTCGTTACCATAAAACAGAGAAGAAAAAAATAATAGAAAAGAAATTCATTGGAAAATATCCTAATAAAAAAAAAAAACAGATTGCTCCAATGTTATAGGGCTTGCTTCAATACATCCATTATTGCACTCTAATGTTACAACAACACTAATACAAAATTTCTTATTTTGTTTCCAAAAGAAAAAAAAAAAAAAAAAAAAATTTCTCCTCATTTTCAAGGCACCAATAAGCCTAGTTTGTAACTCCGAGCCTATTCCTTTTTCGACTTCCAGCATCTCATCAAACTCTCACTGCTTGTTTGGTAAAACACAAGATTGTTTTATACTGGACAAGATTGAAAAAGAAACTAAAATCATGCTGTAATCGAGATTGGTGAATCACCTTTAGCGCTTTGTTCATCGTGGATCGACTGACTTAGTTGGGGAACCTCTTGAAAAATTCATATGATTTATTCTGTCAAATGGGATTTGAACCTAACATGGACGGACCAACACGGGGTCATGTGGGGTCAAATGACCCCACAATTTTTTTTTTTTTTTATCATTGCTTTTGTTCACTTTCTGCTATCTATTTGCCTAATTTCAACTCGATTTTGGTTATTTCCTTTTTCTGTAGCTGTGATGTCCCTAAAGTAAAAAATTTGATTTCATGTTTCTGTGCACACACATTTATGTAAATATATACACACATATATATAGATATATGTTTTCTTGATTTTATCCCTTTGATTTCATATTTCTACACATGTATCTACATGTTGGTATGTATATGCTTTATTCATCTTATCCCCTTGGTTTCATGTCTCTGTGTGTATATATATATACTCTTGATGTTATCCCTTCATATTAATAAAATATGATAATAATTTAAGTGAAAGTAAATTATAAGAATCTTTGCGCAAATAAGTAATTCAACACAACTGACTTGTTGCAATGATAAACTTGTTAGTTGTTATTCAAGTAATTGGAAGCTATCACATGATCTCCCCCACCCCACCTTTTTTTGGAAATTTTTTGTGCTAATTTATTCGCCGACTTATATTTTTGTGTATTTATTCATTTTTAGTGTTTCTAAAACTCAAGTATGCTTGGACATGATAAAAACTTGGAACATTAGGCAAGGCTAGAAGAAGACACTCGAGTGCCAATGACTGAAACCTACCGCCCTTACAGCGCCGTTCGAGCATACTTAATTTTTGACCCCACAGTAGAAAATGTCTGATTCTGTCCCTGGGTCGAAAGCTAAAGAAGTTGGCTTGGAAGCTTCAGTTGGTACAGTCAATGATAGATGAATAGGTCGAGCTCTTACAAGCAATATTTTTCATTAGAGCTCACTTATCAGCTTTTCCCTCCAATAAAAACAAAAATATGTCTCGTATAAAATTCGCACGCAGCTTTTGAAAAATGTCTATATGAACAAAAAAAGGCAAATGTTCAGTATCTATATTCTAAAAAGGTTCTCTAAGTTCCAAACTAGGATGAAATCGACTTAAAAGCAAAATCGAATAAAGATTAGACAAGTTTGTGGGTACTTATAATTATTTTGTCTGCAAAATGTTTTTAGAATCCTTACCTGTAGAAAACTTTCAAGCCTTTCACGCTTTGCTATTTCTTTAAGCAAGTTGCATACACCATCATATTGGTTGACAGATCCCGGCAACTGCATGAAACCATTTTGTTGGAGTTTTACAATCTAAATACTACATAATGCCAAACCCGCAAACTCGAAGACAAGAAAACTGAAACTAGCAAGATTAAGAGTGATGGCCAAACTGCCTCTCTCTATAAGACTAGCAAATGAATAACTAGCCAGAGTTTGATATCTCGTTTTGAAAACACATACTCAAGCCCGTACGAGCTTTTCAACAATTTTTATTTCAAGAACTAACTTAGTCAATCTAGGCATTTGCATCCCATCCATGCGAGCCATACCAGGCTGCCCAAAAGGGAGCCAGGCAAGGCCACTTCTAAGTGGTATTGTTCTTGTTGGGTTTGTGACCCAATTTCAGTCTAGTGTGATTTGGAGCAATGATTTTGAAGATATCAAAATTATGGATCGAAAAGAAAAGTCTCTACATTTTCACTTCCCCTGTTGTTAGCTTGCCGCTCGAGCAGTAGACGAACTTTTGGAGAAGAAGCTATCGCCTGTCGACGCCAAGCTCTCGCTTGACGACGAGGCCGCATGAATTTTTCTCCTTTTGTTGGTTTCACGCATATTTTGACCTAATTTCCATTTTTTAGGTTATTTCTAGAGTTTTGACATGTAATATATATATAGTAAACTCTTCATTAAATTTAAATGTTGCCAAGATTGCGGTAACAATATTATTTTTCTCCATGAATTGTTGAATAAAATACCATTCCTCTGCCTATCTATTTCTTGCTTTTAATCTCGTTTTTTGTGTATGATCATATACTTCATATTGTGTCATATTTGTCTCCCTATTTCATAACAATTCTCTAACAAACCAATAAAAAACGAAATAAAAGTGTGAGGAGTACAATGAGGAGGACATTCTAGCCTCACCTCAAGAAAATACATAGGAGGAGAGAGAGTTTTATTACGAATCACAGTACAGGTTCTTGTCTTTATGGCTAGAAAAATAAGAGAACAAAGAACAGATGATTATACCAAATCATAGGCAGTATGAACATGGATATTTTTGTACATTACAAATTGGGAAAATTTCATAAGTAAGATTTTAAGTATCACACATTTCAAAATTAAAAAACAAATTTCAAACTTCAAAAATCAGATTTTTATTAAAATTTATTTATGATTTAATTAATTAATTATTTTATTAATTAAATATATTTAGGTCACATACAATTTGGTCACAAATTAACGATTTAATTAGTCACTTATTATTTTTTTATCACAAATAAAATTTTTTATGTCACATTGTTTTACGATTATAATTCAAAAACTTTGTAGGTCATAGTTTGTTCATCGGTCACAAATCAAAAAATTAATTAGTCACGGATTAATTTTTAGTCACAACTTATCAATTTATTAGTCACAACTTTTTTTCGATCACAAATCAAAAATTTCATGGATCACATATTATTTTTGTGTCAAGAATAAAATTTTTTATAGGTCAAAGATTATTTATTGGTCACAGAATCAACTATTATTGATCACAACTCATTTAGTCATTACAAATTATCAAATTTATTGATCACGTTTAATTTCATCAGTTACAAATCAAGTCCCAATTTATTTGTATGTCACAGATTTTCAAATTAATTGGTCATAAATTATTTTCAGTTGCAAATTATTAAATATTTAGGTCACAATTAATTAATTGATCACGAATAACCAAATGGTTGGTCACAGACCATCGCGCCACCATCGTAGCCAGAACAACCAGACTTGGACACAACACTCAAACGAAAAAATCAATCAAAATAATGTCATCACACAACCAGACTCAAACTTCGCAACAACCTTAACGCAACACCATTACTACCACCAACTCACCGGATCGTGACCCTATCGCTGCAGCACCAAAACACCTGACATTGTACATATGACCACCACCGTCACCACTACCAAGCCACCGCAAAAAAACTACCACAAAATCCACCTCAAAACCATCTGTGACTACCGCTAGCACCACCATCCACAACTGCCTGAACCATCACCCCTCCCACAACCACAACCAACACAGCCCAACAACAACACGGAAATTTACCCCAAACCCAACACAAACGCATCACCATAAAGAAATAAAATGAATTGCAGAAAGCAAGAAATCAAAATCACAAATTTGAAATTGAAATCACAATTCTGAAGGTTTAACTTTTGAATTATTAATTAGAATAATATCACAAATCACCTCCCGCCACCACCCCAGATTCGACACCCACCATCGCACCTCACTGTTAGATGCACGATCAATCACATCCAGCAACGGATCTGACACTGTCAGCCACCATCGCAGCACCACCACCAGCAGAGGCATCGTTGCTCGCAACGCCTTGCTGTCTACATTAGCGAGCATGAGGAAGGAGACTCAGCAATGCACGACTGCCACCTTGCCATCGCCAATAAAGGTGGTACCTGAGCAGATGACGGTGGAGAGGGAAAGAAGAATGGATACTGAGGAAAGGAGAGGAGAGGGGGGGAGAAATAATTTACAATTTGGGTAAATGTATTAGGGTTTGGTATGAAAAATCTGATTTGTGAAAATTGAAACCTTTCATCTGATTTTAGAACACAGGTTTTTTAAAGTTGGGTTTTTTGTAATTTCCACTTACAAATTCCTTTCCAAAGGGGTCGATTTAGCATTAGCTCACCAAGTCCAATGATGAAGACCCATGGACCTCTCCAATTTCCTAGCATCTTATGATTCAAAAAACTGAGGAAATGCAACAAGGGCCTAAAAATTGAAAATAAAATATCAATTTCAGATAAGATAGAAAAAAAGGGCCTTAAAGGGGTTATGAGAAAAAAATTAAGCAAACATACAGTAAAAAATCTTCCAATAGCATCCAAGATACTGTAATGGAAAATCTCTAATTTGCCGAAGTTCAAAAAGTTACCTGATTAAATCATGATTATGAGGAGCCGCGTGGAACAAAGTACATGGCAAATGTCCTTAATCTTTATATTTCTGAATTACTCCTTCATGTTGATTACTAACCTCCGCAAGTTCAGTTGCAATCCTGCATTTGCATGTAATGCTATCAATGTAGATTCGAAACTCTATGCAGATAATGACAATCACCCAGCTGAGGGACGATGTAAGGAATGGGGGATATTCAGAGAGAAGAAAGCCATTTTAAATGACGTATCAGACGTGTCAGAGGCAGGCTGGGAAGTGTCACAGGAGTGACAGTGTCCAATACATGTCTGACATGGACACACCATCCTGTCCATGCAGGGCTATAAATTCAATACGACCACAAGGAAATAAATACTTACCTGGAGATAATTTTCAAAAACATATCCAAAGATACTGCTTCTAAGAGTACACCTGGCAATGTTAGTTTTTGGGGTTAGAAGCAAAGCCACAGGGTTAAGTTTCTGCTATAAAATGCCATCAGATTTAAACAAACTGAACTTCATAATGCCTGCCGAGAAAGATGCACTGTGCTCATCGAATGGCCACTATTGTTCTGATATAAAAAGTGCATCAGTTGTGATGAAGACAAAAGGGGAATAGGAAAGGTAAAATGGAATACTGTCGGACAAAAACCAGAAAGATAATTCACCTCAATGAACAAATATTACAGTTTAAATCTTGCATTAGCTGCTTACGCAAGGTAAAGTAGTGCATTTCATAAGAATTCATAACTATACCAGATGATGAAGAAACTTGTAGTTGGTACAGGTTTTGATCCATTAACTCAAGCCATAACTTAATTCTAAAGACTTCTTAGAGAGAGATTAATTTTGTCAAATGCAAATAAATAGAAACTGCAAACATATAAGGGAGATAGCAATTATGATACTTCCTACATCCTAAAACTTCAGCGATGAAACTAAATATCACTCATGTAAAGGTAATGTCACAAGGAAGTATTGAAATTATCAGTTACTCTCACTCGAATTGGCCGACTAGTTCTTGAAATCAACGAGACTTCAGTAAGAAATTATCATGTCCTTAACTGAGATGAGAGTACAAATCATATGCCAAGCTCACACAAAATCACAGTTTCACCCTAAATTCCCTCCAGCTAAGATGAATTTCAGTTAAAAACAGATAGATACTCTGCTTCATGCACAATCCTGTCTATCCAGCTTACTTACATTCAATTAGACAAAGTAGCCAGATTCCAAAACATCATCACATAGATCCAACTCGTACGAAGCTAAATCTTAGCACATTAAATTTAGAATATATTCAAGCTAAATGCAAAGTCAACATAGTCCGCAACAAAACTCACCTAGTTTGCATAATGTTGATCAGAATATTTTTACAGCCGGCCTTGTGAAGAGAAAGAAGAGAGAAATGAGAACTCTACACAGAAAAAAATAGCATTGTATTAGAAAGAGTTGCATTCTCCAATTCTGCTGTTTAGTCAAATATGAAAACCCATTAAAACCCGTGTTTTTCCAACAAAACTTAGTCGAAAACACACTCATCAAGACAAAACTTTGAACTCAGAGATGCCAATAGGACTCTCTGATCAATAAGGCCTACGGAGTAACAAGACCGCTAGATGCTTTGAACTCTGAACTTCTCATAAAATGTGTACTAGCATTATTATTTATGATTTGAAAATCATATTACCATTCACTGCTTCCACTGCTTTTATTCAGTTTGAACATTGACAAACATATAGTGGGCTCATTAAACACAGATAATTGTTGAAATCAAAGAGCATAAAATGTTCCTAAGACAATTGTCTAGAGTTTTCATTATGCTTGTGTGCAATGAAAATAGTCACAGAAATATTATTGCTAGCGATTGCTATTTTATGCATAAACCAGTACATAATGCCATTACTCAGTCTATTCCACTTTGCTTAAATGAAGGTGTAAGCTAGAATCAAGAAAATTAAAATAAGTGAAACAGTAATTCAAATGCTTGCTTTCAAAATTCAAATTTTTTTTTGGGGGACTGATGCACAGTGATAACCATCGCCATTGGCATAAAATATGAATTACACACCTGAAAAAATCACCCATTTCTTCCCTTCACATGCTTCAATAAAGTGTGTAAATCCTCTCCATTGGAATTTAGCAAATTATATTCAACAAGTGTGGATTGAAGAATAGAATCAGGCAGAATCCCATCTTCTAGCATGTGTTTGTACAATGACATGGCATCCACAAGCCTTCCAACTTTGCAGTAACCACGAATAAGAATTGTATATGCTACTATATCGGGCACTAGTCCCATGTGTAGAGCATTGTGAAAGACAGAATATGCTTCCTCCATCAACCCTCTTTTGCAGAGACCATCAATCAGGACGCTGTAGCTCACAATAGTGGGAGACAGTCTCCTCTGAAGCATCTCCTCATAGAGCTCAAAAGCATTTTTAATATTACAAGTTTTGAAGTAGCCATCAATTAAAGAACTGTATGTGACCACATTAGGCATTGGACCTTTATTCGACATTTTAGAAAATAACGAGATTGCATCATCCATTCTACCTTCTTTACAAAACGCATCAATCAAAATAGTTAAGGTAATAGCATTGACTTTTATCCGTCTGTGTTTCAACTCATCATAAAGCTGGACTGCCTCATTCAACATTTTCAAAGAGCAGTAACCACAAATTAGTGTATTGTATGTCACAATATCAGGTTCTGGCCCATACTCTGAAACCTGCCTGAACAAATCCAATGCATTTCCAACCTGACCTTTGCCGAAGAGTGCATTTATCAAAACGTTGTAGACAACTATATCGGGTTTGACACAATTTTTAACCATCAGCTCATAAATTTGTAGTCCAGCAGTTAGATTATTCTGTTTGCAGAGTCCATCAATAAGAGCACAATATGTTACAACATCGGGAGAGAAACCCATTTTCAATAGTTGAAAGAAAAAAGTTAAAGCCTCAGTTGATCTCCCTCTCTCAGAGATACCCTTGAGAATCGCAGTGTGAGTCATTAAATCCGGGATTATTCCGTAGGAATCCATTTGCATATACAAGTTTATTGCAATATCCATCTGTTTCAATTTGCACCAACCATCTATCAAAGAGTTAAATACATAAATATTCGGAGTTATACCGCTATTTACAGCCTGGTAGAAGAATGTAAGAGCATCATCCATCTGACCCCATTTGCTGAGACCATTTATAATCACACTGTAGACTACAACGTCAGGCATATAGCCCTTCATCACAATATCCCTAAATAAATTAATTCCATCTTTCAAAAACCCCATTTTGCAAAATCCGTCAATAAGATTACTGCAAATTAAAATAGAGGGCTCAATACCATGTTTCATAAGCTGTCCAAAGATGCCAAAAGCCTCACTAAGTCGGCCACTCTGGCATAAACCATTTATTAGAATACCATAGGTCACTATGCTTGGCATAATCCCTTCTTTCAACATTCTATTATACGTTTCAAATCCCTTTTCTACATCTCCATTTCGAACATGAGCATCAATAATGCAACTAAAAAGAACCACATCCAACTTAATCCCTCTGTCCAAAGCTGCTGAAAGTAGCACGTGGCCCTCATCAAATTTCCCCAACTTGAACAAGCCATCAATCAGTATGCTGTAAATAATAAGGTCAGGAGCTATCCCCCTCACAATCATAAGATCATAAAGCTCAAATGCCTCCCCCAATCTCCCGTCTCTGCAGCATGCATAAATTAATGTGCTAAAAGTCACTACACTTGGTTTTGGCCCTGTTTCTAGTATCAACACAAAGAATTTATAAGCATCTTCAGTACAATTACTTTTACAAAGACTCCTTAAAATCTTATTACAAGCAACAATATCGAGCACAAACCCCATCTCAACCATTACTTTATGAAACTCAAACCCCATTGCAAACTTGTCCTTCTTCAACAAACCATCCATCACAAAACTATATGGATCCAATTGTCTCTGCCCACTTTTCCACTTATTTTCTAATTTGCTACACACATCAAGAATAAGATTAATACGTTTCAAATCAATCAAACATCTCAAAAGTTTCAACAACGAGGAATCTGAGACCACTATACCCATGCCACACATTCTTAAAAACAACTCAACAGACTGATCGATCAACCCAAGCCTACAGTAATTCTCAACGAGAAAACTATAAACAGCACTCTTATTAGACCCAACAGTTCTAAATCCCTCATCATCAAATGCATCAACAAAATCAAAAGTTCCAAACTTTCTGATGACTTCATCAAAGGCCCATCTAGCTTCATCAAATTTACGATTCCTTAACAACAAATGTATGAGCTTAACATAAGAGTCACGGGTGTGACTGAAGCCAAGAAAATGCTCAGACCACTGAAAAAATTTAATTGCTGAAACAGGTTTCGATTTAAGATTATATAGAATAGTTCCCACGTGGCAAGGTTGCAATTTGGAGAGATTTTGATGGTCAATAAATTTGAGGTTTTCTTGATGGAAAGCTAGCGTTATCTCGTTGATTAGTATTGTTGGGAGTGGGGATTTGGTATATGAGCGTGAAAATATGAATATTGAAACGGGTTTCAGCAAAGATTGTACCTTTAAAGAGGAGATTAACATAGGCTTGAGCTTGTTGAACTTGTAGTTGGAGTCTATTCCAATTACTTGAGCTGCTGTGATTTTTGCTTGGAGTTCAAGAGACGTTTTTCTGCTGCAATTGTTGGAGGGTTTTTATGGGTGAGTTTTTAACGGGTCCCACGGCTTCGACAGACCAAAGGCGGAACTTTTTGATCAAACTTGCGGAGGCTATGTCCGTTCGTTTGGCTAAAGATAAGGCAAGGAACTGGTTCAGGGGGTTGGGTTTGGGTTTGGGATGATTTATAGGTATTTTTGCACGGCTAGTCGGCTAGTGCTGTGTGTACACGTGAATTTACGCCCTCTGCACACAATAAAATATGTGTGGGTCTTCTTTTATGTGAAGGGGCGCAAACCTTGTATCTATCTTGAGTCATACACGTAACATTATCTTTTTTGCTATAGGTTCAACATTTTTGGCCCTATCAGTTTCACGTACTTAAGTTCGCTACTTGTCTTTACCCAATTCAGCCAATAGATAGTACCGATAAATTTCATTGAATTGTTTTGTTTTCTGGATTCATATAATAATATTTATGGCACAAGAATATTATCTTCGAGATAATCGATAACTTATCAAGATCATATATTTTTTAAAACATATAATGAACAATGAAGAGAAAAGTAATCACCTTCGACCCTCGCACGACCCCCTTGCCTGTTGATCCCTCACTTTGGTGACAAGTAGAGGCCAAGATAGATTAGAGGTGTCTTTCTTTTTTGGCATTTAAATTTTTCTAAAAAAAATTGTCCTTCCAATGAACTTCCTTATCATATGCAAAAGAAGTGATATAAGTCGAATCCTAACCCTTGTTTGAGCCTCATTCTTTTTATAAGAATATTTGAAAAGTGTATTGATGCGAAATGTGTGGTTAAAAAAAAATTTGAATATACATTTAATATTATTTTATTGAAAAATGTGTGATTAAAATGATATCAAAACACAGTTTAAGAATACATTTTTTCAAAAGAATGGAGATCAAATAAGAGCTAAATGTAGAAATATAAGGTCGGCCATCTCTCCATCAAAAGAAATGAGATTACAGATTACAACACATTAAAAAATTAGTCAAATTTGCCTAACGTAGAGACAATCAAGATAGCTGTGTAATTAAATATATAACTTACAGAAAAGCGGACAAATCCAACCAATCTTGTTTGGACAATGAAAAGAGCCACAGGTTTATCTACATCGAATCAAATTAATTTAACTAATAAACTAGATAGAATCTTCAAAAATCGAAAGTTGAGGGCCGAAACGTTAAACATATACCATGTCTGGTTTTATTAAAAATTAATTTCTAATCAAACTTTAATTGAAAGCACGAATTCATAACTACAATTTATTTATTATCCACACATATCATTAAACTCGATATTTTTTTTTTCGTTATAAAGAGATTGTAAGTAACTTTTAATAGAAAATATAGGCATATATTATATGGAGAAGCAAATTCTCAACCAAGTATAAAACAGAGTTAACACACAGTTTTCCTTAAATTACAGACTACATGAAAGGAATGGCCATTTAGGGATACAAACTACTTGTGCTTCAATACTTTCATTAATACATTATAATGCACAAGTGTTACAAGTCTTTAAGGGGAAGCCCCAACTCCAATTTTTCCCTCTCCAAATTAACGATAAGAAGAAGATAATGATTGAGTAGATGAACATTAAACAAAAATTTATCAAGACCCTATAGCAAGTCAAGATGACATGTATCTGCAACACAGACAAGAAAGTCCTGTACGAGTTTCCATAGTGGTTGCAACCACCTTTAAATACACATCTAGCGGATAAAGCAACACCACCAAAAATAAATGGATTTAGTCATATTAGAAGACTCTATGCTTATAGAATATTTTGTATAGCCAAGATAGCATAATCTACCATGTTTCATCAAAGAAATGAGAACACAGAATACAGAAGAGGAATGGTAGAATTTGAGAGAAAGCATTTTCGAGTGGAAGTTCAATTAATGCTGAATGTACTGTATCAATTCATTTGACTCCATATTCAACATGTTAGTTTTATTTATACTTATAAATTACTTTAAAATAGAAAGTTGCCAAAATTTGGAAAATCCATCAACTTAAAACTAATAGATAGCATGCATTGGGATTCATGTCATTACATTTGACATAGACTTCTACTGGTTGTCAACTTACCTCAAGGCTCCTCTTCATCTAGTTTCGAGAAGGTTATGAATAAAGAAAAATTGCAAAGTTATAACACCTATAATACAAGCCGAGCTAATATATCTCATAGTCAAGATATCCAGAATCAAAGACCTTTTAGGGTCTTTGCTGATCTACTAGCAATTGATTTTAATATATGAAATTTTAAAGTGATTAAATTTATTAAAATCTAAGTATCCTTAACTGATAGGCATCCTCAATAGCTCACGAGTTTATAAAGATTTATTAGTTTGAAATTTTTTTAAAGATTTGAAAATATTTCCTGCTTAAAAATACATATAACAAGCTATTCTGAAATTTTATCATTTTTAATAAGATTCTTATGAATTTTGTCAAAATCTATTCAAATTCATAAAATTTATTAGAATTTATAATTTATAAAATTTATCAAAATTTCAGTTGAAGACATCTTCTAAAAGAACTGCTGAAATCGAGTAAAATTTCAGTTGAGTACCGCCTTTAATTTTCCCATCTTCAAATTCTCATTCCAAAATGTGGGCTCTAGCCCAATTTTTCACTCTTAAATCCAACGCTCAGCCCATTAGCCCACTCCAAATGCCTTTATATAACCCCAATCAATCACCCCAATTTCGACACATTCTAGGGTTTAGCTCCGAGGCTTCACCTGTTTCTCTCGATCGACCCCGCCTCTGAAATTTGTATGCACAATGCCAGAAAAAGTTTTGCTTCTGGTAATTTTTTGCTTTTAGTTAATCCGTATTCGTTTTGTTTCGAATCCTTAGGGAGTAAAATTAGGTCTGAGCTCGATTGTTTTCTGTGATTGAGTCGCGAATGCACCGTCCGTAATAGGCTGCACCAAACTTGATCCAGCCTTGAGCGGCAGTGCATAAATCGAAAGCTGATTCTAATCAGCGGCGGCCAGACAACCGCTGAGATGGATCCACAGATGGGTGCTTTTGTGCCTGTCTACTAATTCCATCTCACAATTTTTGTTATTTTTAAACTTGAATTTAAGCCCCTCTTTGAAAAATGTAAGAAGAAAGAATAAAAAATAGATTAACTGAACCTTCTCCCGAAATGACCGATCTATTTCAGTCCAATTGATTTGAATTAATTGGAAAAAGTATAGTTTGGGAGTTCTGAACATTTGAATAGTAGCTGTTGCCGTTAAAAATATGTATTTCGGTGCAAAAGAGGATTTTTCAAGTGTAGCAATCAGATTCTTAGCTTCTTAAAATGGTTTTCATGAACATGAAGGAATTAATGAAAGTTGGAAGTTATTGTTTGGATTGGTTGGAACAAAGAAATATAATTTTGGACAAGTTTACTGGTTATTTAACATTCAAATAATGTTTTTGATCGATTTTTTTTTTTAAGGCTTCAAAATTAATTAGGAGTGGGCGCGGGTCGGTTCAGTTCGGTTCTCTTTAGAACTGAACCGAACCAAACTTTTCGGGTATTTAGTAAATGGAATCGTCGGGTCCAAATATAATTATGGAACCGTTCGGGTTCGGTTCCATTCGGTTCGGTTCGGATTGGTTCGGTTCCGTTCGGTTCTGTACTATACTTAAATTTTTTAACATTTATAACAATGTTATATAAATACGACTAATGATACATTCAATAAAGTTGGAATGTCAGAGATTAGTAAACTATCTTGTTCAAATGATCGCTACGATCAAAGCTTCAGTCGGGAAAAGTCACGGCTTCGATCGGAGGTCAAAGTGTCGGCCGACGATTGTATAGGTTTTGGAATATTAGATAGGCTGCGAGAGTGAGTGCGAGAGTCGAGACAACGTTATGCACTTTATTGTAGGTGTTTAGGGTTATTTAGTGGATTTGATTTGTTTGGCTAAGAAATGAAATAATAAAATGGGTAATTGGGCCAAAAATTAAAAAATTAGAAATGAAACAAATTATTGGGCCAAAAATTTGGATTTAGAAATCATTAATTTGTTAATTTGTTTAAAAAAAATTAAAATTAAAATAATTTGATTTACTCAATATAAAAAAAAATTAGAAAGATTCGGTTCTTATTCGGTTCTTCGGTTCTTGGTCTAGAACCGAGAATCGAATCGTACCCATCGGTTCTCAATTCAGATACCCGTTCGGGTATTTAATTTAACAAGAAACGTCGGGTTTGGTTCGGTCGGTTTGGTTCGGGAGATTTGCCCAACCCTAAAATTAATGTAAACTATTTTAAAATATACATTGTAAAATGCGGTTATTCTTTGAACAAGTTCAATAGAGCTCAAATCGATCTTTACAATGTTGAATTTGACAGGAATACAATAAAATTTAACAGTTAGTTCATGTTCGATCCCCATCTTTTAAAATTTATTTTTTATCAAATTCATTTTGAACTATATGCTTCATAATATATTCAACTTTTAATATTTTCAATCATATCATTTATTAATTTTTATCAAAATTTAATAGAAACATAATTTTTAGCTGAACTAAATGGGAATTAAATTTTTACAACCTTGTCAGATCAGCACAACAATGAGCCCTTTTAGGGGACGAATGATGCAAAGAGTGGGGATGGAGAGGTAATGATTGGAGATGGGTTAATTACAACTTTGTCACATGTTATTACTAAATAATTGAATTTAAAATTGTATCTAATGGTCATTAAATTTCGTCAAGTGTTACTATTTACTATTTCATTTCTAAGTTTAAAAATGTGCCTCAATGTTCATTGCACTATACATCGGCGTTGACATTCTTGTGATCCATTCACAACTCAAATGGAAAATTTTCTTAAGTTCAACAAACGGCGTTGACATTCTTGTGATCATTGAGATACGTTTTTTAGTTCAGTTATAAATTAGTAACACTTGGCAGAGTTTAATGATCATTTAAATACATTTTTAAGTTAGGTCATTAAGTAATAAAAAATTCTTTTTTCCTCGAATCAATGTCTGTGAAAGAATGTGCTAAAGAAAATGAAGGGGAAAAAGTTCTACTTTTATTCAATATGTAGTCTTTATCACAATGAAAAGTAGTTTGATTTTTAAATCAACTCGTATCAGTTCATCGT